TATGCGGCTTCTTTGAATTTTCTCCTAAACCAGTGTTCTTCCCTGTGTATGATCTCAGCTTGGGACCACTTGATGTTATATTGATGGCTCCAAATATGCTCTGCTATTCCCGATTTGCTGGTTTCCCCTCGCTGTGTGTGTTTCTTGTGCTTGGCAATGCAAACATTCAATGGCCTCTTAGTTTCACCGATATAGGATTTTCCACACTCACAGGGTATCCCTCACAGATAGGGAAGTGCAAGCACTGGTTGTGACGGCGTCTCTTCTTGCGAGGCTCTTGCTGCCATTTTGCCAAAGTCTGTTTCACCATCGCTTTGGAGTAGCCATTCCGTTGAAGATCATTTTTGTCTAGTCTAGTTCCTTCTCGAGACCTTCCTTCTTATCAGAGAGCCCGAAAGCACGGTTTAATAGAGTCTTGAGTCTTTGGATAATAGAAATCAAGTTGATGTAATCTATATAGATTTCAGCAAGGCTTTCGATAGAGTTTCCCATCAACAATTAATATGAAAATTGGATGCATATGGTATTTCAGCAAAAATTCGAAATTTACTAAAATCGTAGTTGAATCATCCTAGTCTATATATCGTGGTGGTGAAAATCGGTTGTATTATTTGCACGGCTGGGGGTTCCCCAAGGATATCATTTGGGGCCGCTTTTATTTTATTTCTACTTTTTATAAATGACATATGCGCTTCGATACAATCAACAAAGCTGATGTTTGCTGATGATTTGAAGCTTTTCAGAGAAATACGTGATTCATCTGACTGTATGTTGCTCCAGAGGGATTTGAATTCACTCCAAAAGTGGTGAAATGAGAACAAACTCTTTCTCGATATTGGAAAATGTGAAATTATGACTGATGCTCAAATATTAAATCCGTACGAGGTCAATTATACAATTTCGACTTACCAAGAGTTAATGATACTCTTGACTTAGGAATCTTATTTGACAATAAACTCACATTTAATGCGCACATTGGAAGTATTGTTCAGAGAGCTTCTGAGTCGCTGGGATTTGTTATAAGAAACTGCAGAGAGTTTAGATCATTTGAATATATTCGGTGGGTATGTAGTAAACTAGAGTATTGTAGTTCTGTCTGGACTTCTAATCAAACAAAATACATTGATGCTATGGGGGGGTGCAGAAGAAATTCCTCAAGTATAAGAAACATGGAAACTATTCGGTTGGAAATTATGAATACATTTGTCTCCTGAACGAATTTGATTTTGTGACATTGAGAAAAAGACAAGACATTGCAGATCTCATTTTCATCTATAAACTAGTCAATGATGCCATAGACTCTCCAACTCTATTATCCCAAATTAATTATTCTAACGTCTCTTGATATACCTCCAGATCAAATATCACATTCCGCATCAATGTAAATTGAAACATTTATGAAAATCTCAACTATCCATACCTGACAAGAATCCTTTTTACCAACTTGAGGGTATCCGGCACACAGCATATTGTCCGAAATCATTTTGGAAGAATAGTTTGTTGATTTGCATTCGTCATTAGTGATAACAGGTACATCCACTTTCTGAAGTATGCAGGATGGTTTTCCCTCTTCTTTGAGTGTTCCCCAACCTGCAGCTGTTGCAATGGATCCGACATAAAGATTATCTAAAAAAATGCAAGGATTACTCAGAGAATGAATTGTGAACAAGTTTCTTTCAGGAGAAGCTTATATCTTCGCAATAAGATAACAAACAATTTAAATTGTTGAGTGAGGATTTTTTCAATCAACTGATCTTTCAATTGTCATCTCAATATTAACTATACTGTTCATATGTTTCATAATGTTGATAAGTCAATATATTGTACAGAATGAGGTGGTATTGGGATATGTAGTTTGAGCAATCTGTTCAAATAAATGATTTTCTTAGCAGAATATTCAGAAAAAGGGTCTGGAGTGCAGTAAATGAGTCAACATACAGCCCTGGAATTCAATCCATTAAACTTTTTTGTAGTGAAATTGTATTACAATATTTATATGAAATGAGTTCTTTTAGAAAATCTTTTTATTCCAGTTTGTAATTGAAAGTACCTTCTATGCCTCCCGAGTAAAGAGGACTGGATCCTCCGGGAGAAGGAAATATTAAGAGCAGATAGTTGTTGGTTCACAGATGGATCAAAAACACCTTCCGGTTCTGGTGCAGATGTTTTCAGTCGCAGACCCAGGACAGAGATATCTACCTGCCTAGAAACTTATGCTTATGCGACTGTATTTCAAGCGGAAATTTACGCTATTGAATTGTGTGCGGAGAGATTGGAAGAATCCAACGTCAATTAAAATATTTTCGGACAGTCAAGCGACGTTGAAGCTCTTGGCTCCTACCGAGCAACGTCTAAATTGGTAGCAAATTACCAAAAACGACTCTCCTCTATAGGAAGACTTATTAACAGATTGTCTCTAGTCTGGATTCCTGGCCATACTGGCCTGGAAGGCAATGGGGCTGCTGACTATCTTGCAAAGGAGGGTGCTGCAAGCAGCTTCATCGGACCAGAACCTGTGATTGGTATCGCTTTAGGCTTTGCCAAACAAAGATTGAACACTTGGATGGCAAGAAGATTTATGGACTTCTGACAGAATCTTCCAGGATTGGCTCACTCCAAGGCGTTTATTCCCGAAGCTTGATACCAAACAGTTGTTGGACTACAGTAGGGATGAAGTGCGATGTCTAATAGGCCTTCTTACGGTTCACTGTCATTTGAATCATCATATGCAGAGACTCGGACTGTCGGAAGACAGTGTGTGTCGCCTCTGTTTGGAAAATGATGAAACAGTAGAAGCACATACTCTGTGCCTGCCTCGCTGGGGACCGAATCAGGTATTGAGAGGTCGGCAGAGCCGCACTCTTACCATCTGACCTGAAAGACCACTCACCATACAAACTAATCGGCTTCGTTAAGAAGCTGGATTTATTTGGTCGAGTATGAATAGGTATAAGCCACAATAAATCCTTGCGGGTTGCGGCGGAGGGTCGAATAGACCCACTCACTTTGTACCTAACTTAAATTAACCTAACCTTCTATGCACGATCTATGTAACTTTTTGAAAGAGTTCATTTCTTCTTTCTTTCTTTCTTCCCCACAATTTCTGATATGAAGATAGAGAAGTGGAATCCAAAGAGCTTTTATTAAATGTTGAGAAAACTAAAACTTGATGTGATGCGAACATGCTGAGAAATATTTCATTAGTTTGGACTTCCATTGTCTAATATGAAATAAATTGATTTGAAATCCCTGAAAGAATCTATAAGATATTAAAAAGATTAGCTGAAAAATAACAATTATATTAAGCAAAAAAACTGAAATTACAATGAAATAAAATACAAGCAACACGAGACACGAGATAAAAATCATTAACAAGAAACGAAAATTTAAAGTTTCCAAGCCAAATTACTTCACGACATTCCGATTGTTAGTATACACTAATTACACGGGGATAAATGGACTTATTCCTCCGAGATCTGACTATTTATACGTCATTCGAGTGTTTTCACCTATCCCCTCTGCTTTGATGCGTTATTGGACAACATATATGCGGCTTCTTTGAATTTTCTCCTAAACCAGTGTTCCTTCTTGTGGATGATTTCAGCTTGAGACCACTTGATGTTATGTTGATGAGTCCAAACATGCTCTGCTATCCCTGATTTGCCAGTTTCTTCTCGATGTGTGTGTTTCTTGTGCTCGGCAATGCGAACTTTCAATGGCCTCTTAGTTTCACCAATGTATGATTCTCCATACTCGCAGGGTATCAGGTAAACACAATTCTTGGAATTGCAGTTCTCGTTTGGTGGCCTGGTTTTCGTGAGGCTGCTACGGATAGTATTCCCAGATGAAACAGGTTCTAATGTTGCACCCAATTGGAATTGGACCCAATTCTTCTCATCCTTTTCGACAATCCTCTGATGTAAAGAAGAACAACTACTGGTTGTGGCGGCTTTTCTTCCTTGTGAGGCTCTTGCTGTCTTCTAGCAACATTATGGAATGGTTACTCCATCACTTTGGAGTAACCATTCCATTGAAGGTCATTTTTGATGATGCCTAGTTCCTTTTCGAGCCCGAAACCACGGTCTACTAGAGTCTTGATGATTCCTCTCTAAGTCGATAGAGTGGGTTTTCGGTATTCAAATGTTTCCCATTCAGTGTGGATCCTCTTCACCAATACGTCTACGAATGGCAATTCGTTCTGGACTTTTCCTTCTCCATTGTGAAAGTGATGGAAGGTCTTACGCTGTTGATGTGTTTCAGAAACGCGTCTAGTTCAGTATTCCCACGGTTCCGTATTATGAAGGTGTTGTCCAAGTATCTCAACCAGATTCGGGGTTTCCTGTGAGTTTCTTCAATGGCCAGTGTTTCAAACCACTCCATGTATATGTTGACTATAACAGGTGAAAGTGGCGATCCCATTGGTAGTCCCACATCTTGCGTAAAGAATTCGTCCTTCAGTTGGAAGTAGTAGTATCGTACACAGCATCCTAGTAATTCCATGATTAATTGTATCGGTGAGTTTGTTCTATCTTTCAGATACCCATCTTCGGATAGCTTCTCTGTATGATTTGAAGTGCTTTTTCGACAGGAACGTTGGTTCCTGTCGAAAATTGAATTCTTCACAAAAGACCATGTTTTTTCTTGCATTAGTTTACTACCAATGATAAAACCACTGCAAGGAAAAACATCTCAAGCTGAAATAATCCACAAGGAGAAACTCTGGTTTCGGATAAAATTCAAAAGAGCCGCATATATGTTGTCCAACAACGCATTCAGCGTAGCTATTTCATTGTAATTTCAGTTTTTTTGCTCAATATAATTGTTACTTTTCAGCTAATCTTCAGTAGTTACTTAAACTAACTACTATCTTATTATTTTTTTATAGATTCTTTCAGGGATTTCTAATCAATGTATATCATATTAGACAATGGAAGTCCGAAAGAATGAAATGCACCACGAAACATTGTCTACCACCTTAAATAAATGCCGAGAAATGTTCAGAAAGTAAAGTTTCGACAGGCATGTCGATTAATCTTTGAAAAAATCAATGTTGAAGAAATTGAGAAAAAAGACGAAGTTCAACTCGGTAGCAATAAAAGCCAATTTTAAAATCTGAGGGAATACTACATGGACTGAAAAGTCTTGAGCCTAACATATAGATGGCGCTAGTTATATTGCATTCGCCGCTTTTTCAGTTGGTACCAACCTTCAAAACAAAGCTGTTGAAGTTTCATGATATTCTACTCAAAGCTTGTGAGTTATTGTGCTATTGTTATTTTCAAAACAATGGATCAAAAACAATTTCATGTTTCAATTTTACTTCTTGGTGGAAAAAAATACCGTTACAGCGAAGCAATGACTTGAAAAATGTTACAAGGACTCCGCTCCACCAGAAACAATAATTAAACGTTGGTTTGCTGACCAACAGAGTCGTAGAGACACCTAAGAGCAGAACGCAGTGGACGTCCAAATTAGGTAGACATGCCCGAAACTATGTCAAAGAAATTCGGCTACGCGGATGACTGGGCGCTCGCCACAAGCCATAAGGAGTTTGAGATAACTGAGCAAATTCTAACAAATGACTTGGCTGCCCTTGTGAGATATTTTGGCGACTGGAGATTGCAGCTCAATGCCGCAAAGACGAAAGTATCGTGATTCCACTTAAACAACAGAATGGCCAACTACCAACTTAAAATCAACTTTGAAGGCAGGCTCCTCAGTCACAATATGCACTCAAAATATTTGAAGACAGCTGCAAAACTAAGAACCCGAAATAATATCCTGCAAAGCTATGCGGTACCATATAGAATTCTACAGCGCTCACACTCAGATCGACAGCACTGGGTTTAGACCCTGTCGCGGAATACTGTGCACCGGTGTGGTTCAACAGCCCACACACCAAACGAGCCCAACTCAATCAAGCTATGCATACCATATCAGACGCAATCAAGGCAACGCCCACTTATTGGCTACCCACTGTGAGTCAAATAGCTCCTTCACAAATTCGCCGAGAGCATGCTCTGGTCAGGGAGTGTGGAAAAATTAACGCCGATCCTATGCTTAGCTCCGGCAGACCATAAATAGGCTACGCTCAAGAAAACCCTCTCTAGAAACGGCAAAGACTCTTATCCAAGAAAACTCCAACATGATTGAGCGGTGGAAAGAAGACTGGGAGAAGAAGACCACACCTGCCAACCGGGATATGACATGCGAATGACGAATCTGGACAACACTTAATGGAATAACGACGAATTGCGATAAATGCTCCGACTCACTTTTCAGAAAAATACCTTTCTCAAATTGGGACTGCGGCCCTGAAAGTCAGATTATTGAACACCTGATAGAGGACAGTCCAATTAATTCTTACAGTGGAAATCCATCCGATTTGCTGATTGCGATAAGAGTGTCAATAGAATATATTCTTAACCTTAGGGTTGAATGTTAAGAAATGTGAATTGAAAATGTTACTTTTGTTACATACTTTCCTGTGATATAGCCATACGCTAAATTAATAAATAAATGAGACAGTAACACCAGAAAACATAAAAAAAGTCCACAAAATCGTTTTGCATGATCGAAAAGTGAAGTTGTGTGAGTTGAAAAGATATCAAAAGAACGTGTTGGCTTCATATTGCATGAGCATTTGATTATGAGAAGGCTCTGTTACAAGTAGATACTGCGAGCTCACTGTTGACCAAAAATAATTACGTCTTGATGATTATGAGCAGTGTTTGGGCATGTTAAAACATAACAAACCGGAATTTTTGATTCGATATGTGACAATGGATGAAACATGGATCCATCACTTCATTCCGGAATCAAAACAATCGCCATCTTAGTGGAGAGCAACTGGTTAACCTCATCCAAAGCGGCCGAAAGCGAATATGATATAGCGTCATTGGAGCGTTTGAATTCCAACATTGCAAAGAACCGACCGCATATGTCAAAAAAATATTTCATCAGACAACACACCGTGTCGCAAGTCAATCAAAACAATGGTGAAACTATATGAACTGAACTTCGAATTGCTCCACATCCACCGTATTCGCCAGATTTGGCTCCCAGCGACTACGGGCTGTTCGCAGATCTTAAAAAAATGCTCACATGTGAAACTTTTCGCTCGAATGAAGAGGTTGTTGTTGAAATTGAGGCCTATTTTGAGGCAAAAGATGAAAAAAAAAACGCGTTTTTTTCTTAAGCCCGGGACTTTTCAGACCAGGTGTTATTGTTGTAAATTTTGTAGATTTGATAACTATATGATTCCTTAAAAGTTCAGTTCTGAAAGCAGGTGGAAATATTATTTCTCTGTGGCAGATATTATCCACCTTCTTATTCCGTATATACACCGCAAACAGGAATTTTGAACTATCTGGATTCGCAAAGTAGGATTTGCAGTTTGATGGGTAAATGATGTAGCATGCCATATATCACTCATAAAGACGAAAACGTTCTTTGCATCAATTTATTTTGACATGATTTTCTAATCTTAAGCTAAAATCCAGCAAAACACCAAGACTTGATTTAATCAAGTAATTCGTATTACTGAATTACGAATGATATCTATGTATTTAGTATGCCCGAAATTAACTTTTGTAGGATTTATAATCAGTCAATGATCTGTGGCACACTTTAAAAATATTTCAAGTTTCATATTTAGAGTTTCACACGCAGCGTTCTGAGAAAAAAAATTGAGATATAATAGAGTATCGTCTGCCTACAGATGAGCCTGAGAATGTAGGAGAAATGAAGAGCGAACAGTAGAGGCCTCAGAATTGACCCTTGTGGTCCTTCAGACTTTACAGGAAGAAAGCCTGATGATTTGCTATCATCTCTTTCTGAGATCAGTTATTGAGAGAATTTGAGTATAAATTGGCAGCTACTGCAATTGAGCATGCTTAAAAGTAGTGTGTGGTTGATGATATCAAACACTCTACTAAAGTCTAGTAATGCAAGTATTGTATAATGTCCGCGGACTGTTGCTCTAATAATGTAAAACAGCCGTGGTTCGGCTATAAGTTTTTGACTGAATAGTCGTTAACAAACTAAATTTCGTGAGGTGTTATGTTATTGTTGTTCAATAGGAGTAGTATTTGAGTTTTTGCGTACAACAACAGTAGAAAATACCCCCTCAAGTATATTTGTATTACTGATATGAGTAATGTATTCAATTTTATAAGAACAGCAGCGTTTATTGAGTCGTGAATTCAATTCATCGCTTCCAATGGCATTTTGCATAATAGTACTTCCTTTATATATCTTGTATATACAAAATAGTCTTACCTTTCAATTTAGGTAAACATATAGGCTTGATGAACTGCGTTATGGGCACTCTGTCGTTCAACCTCAGAAGGGCTATATCGTTATCGAAATTTAAAAAACTGAAGGCTCCAGTTATGGCTCTGAGAACGAACCTAGTTTCGGGTCTCTTCTGGTCGTTGCAGCGATCATGTTCTCCAAAGGAGACTTTGATCATGAACCACATGAACCTGAAAAACAGTATATTCAGATGAAAATAATAAATGTTGAGGTTGCACGTAATGGCGATTTTTAACTTCATTTAGCAAAAGTTGAACACAAATTTATTTCACACGTTTCAGTTCAGAATGAAATGAATTCATAAAAAAATTCACTATTATGAAAATGATTATGATTATATAGTATTATGATTTATCTTTACGTTCTTTCTCAGTTTTCAGTCTTCAGCATAAATGAATATTTCATGTGAAAAGGATATTCATCTAGTTTCAAAAAGTACTTGTCTACACGACATTTTTGCGCCATCTGTTGGTGAGAAGCTCAACTGAAAATGAATCAAAATTTTAAAAAAATGCTCAATTTTCCTTTTTTTAATTTATCAACATCAAAACTTCATCCTTGTGTTAGAACCTAAATCCAAATTTTTATGCAAATCGGCGCTATTTGGTCAAATTACACAGTATCAGCGTATTGTACCTTCAATAATTGGACTGAAAAGTGTTGCTTGGAATAACGACCAGTTCCGTTGCAACCAGCTACAAGTTCATTATCCATAATTTATGATCGATATCCAGTGACGTAGAAATTGGATGGTAGCAATAAAGTAAAATCTACTAGGTACTTTTATAGATGTTACCTTTTCAGTAATAGCTATTTGTAATACATGTAAATTGTCTAATTACAAAGAAGCAGGTGAATAATATAAACAACTTATTTCGCACATAATATCGAATTTGCATCAGGATATCAATATGAGATTGTTAGAATAATGCAAGATGTGAATATACTAAATTCTAAAGCGGAACGCAAATGAAGCCATCTGTTTTAGCTACAAAAATACTTGTTTATCGTTTTAATTGCTTTAGTTTCTATTAGATGCAAGCAAAAAAAATAGTGGCGTGGATACGTAGATGATATCTTAGTCTGTTACTCCTACAGGCAGTTGGATAAGTTTGTCGAATTTGTCGAATTTTAAGTTCTCTATTCCACAACAAAACATTTTTCAAGAATTAAAAAAAAAATTTATGTATGCAACTGATAGGTTTGGCTATGATAAAAGTGTTTCGTCATTAATTCAAGAAGCATTCGAAAATTGGTGACATTATGGTTTTAAAAAAGTGTCCAAGTTTTTTGGTGTTGAAGGAGCTCCATATTTGTCATTCAATTCAAAAGACCAGCCATGCGTGTTGTTCACAGCAATCAATATATTGGATTTTTGAACTTTTCAGTAACGTATAATGATCCAAGGGTTAGCGGCAGTGTATACCTCTATAGAAAACTACAGAATTTCGTAACTCAGTGGAAGAAAAAATGTTGTACTCTATGGAGATGGAGAACACAAAAACTCTCTTAGGCAGACATGCGATCCAATACACCAATCACCACACTTCTGGTATATGGAAACACGTTTCCCACTTCAGAACTCAAGCACTGCTATATAGTATAATCAGGAGATTAGTTTTGGTTATTCTCTAAAGATAATAACTTGGTTAGCGAAACGCGCTTCGGTAGATAGCGCTTCAGTTCAGTTGTGGAAAAGGTGTTTTCATTAGAGGATATGGATTTATTCTTAATTTCGAAATCAGGACGAGTAAAAAGAGACAACATTTAAGGGATCACAATGGGCATTTCTTTCTTTCATTCCAAAGGTCATCATTCCAATATGTCATCGATTTGGAAGATTTGATAAAGAAACGATTTTGTATCTCATTAAAGTAGGATTGCAGTTATATTCGAATTTAACTGTTGTTGCAAACTTGTTACAAACAGTACTACATAGGCACTTGTTACTCATTGATATAACTTCCAAAAAAAAGAAATAGCTATTTATGATATGAGTGTTGAAAGTAAGGTTTTATTTTGTGAGGGAAAAAGTTTGCAAAACGAGCGTAGCGAGAAGTTTTTTGTACAACTGTCCTGTTTTCATAATTGAATAGATAAATTTATTATTTCTATGAAAACACATTTTGACACCTCTTATCAGTTAACTATTTTCATGTTACCGCATTTGCTATGAAGTGGCCGTGTGAGGTGACGCCGAATCACCTGGTTACCAACAAACAGTATTGTTTATAGCTCACACGTTTTATTTAGCTGGTTTTTTCTACCTGGTGTTTAATGTCTTGCATAATGAAGAACAATTGTGAGGAATTGTGTGTTCCTGGCGATATTGAAGAGGTTGCAAAAAAACTTCAATTGAATTGTTACCAAAAAAGTTGGCTCAGCAGTACGAAATCGCATATTCTAATTTTCTTAACTGGCGTATACTTGAAAACCCTTACGATTGAAGTCCAGAGGACTATATCAATCTATATCTTATAAAAAGACTATTGCTGAAAAAATAATCCCAACAGCTAGGTCCAGCGTTACAGCATCGTCCTCTTCACTTATAGTCTAGTTCACATGTACTTTTTTTTGTAACATTTTTCAGCCCTATCCAAAAATTACGACAAAGGTGTCATTCGATTCGTATTTTTGCCTAGAAAGTTTGAGGAATGGTCCGAAAACGCGCCGATGAAAATTACAAAAGTTATAAACAATTAAGTGAAAAAAA